CCCCCCCCGTCGCGTCGATGGCCGCCCGACCCTTATCTTTCCGATAAAATATAAAATTTTATGCCAGGCACCATCGTTTCCCCTTCCGCTTTCGCGGCGCTGCGGCCGTTCGGATCGAAAATTGAGCTCTTACTCCGGCGTGCTGAGGAAGAACGCCGTATGACCGTTTGAGAGTTGCCGAATTTCCCTTGATAAAACTTGTAATTTCGACGATATTTATGTGTATTTTTCTTTTAAATTTTCAGACATTTCAGACTAAATTGCGAAGGAAATAGACCAATTTAGTGGTGACGTCACGGAGCGATATTGTTGGTTCGATATCTCGAAAGTCGAAATGTGCCCCAACAAACAAACGTAACCTCCAAAATGAACAATTGACGAAATAATGCTAAAACTGCCTGAAACTAAAAAATTGCTCCATGGGACTTTAAATTTATGAAAGCTAGCCATTTACAAAAACGTTCGAGATCACAATCACAAGAATTGATTGTATAATAAGCTCGTAATATCAGTGACAGTCGTAAAGCGAATCCTCCTACCCCCCCTGCCTAAATCCCGCAGATTCCTATATGTTCGTTTGTTTGGGGCACGTTTCGACTTTCGAGATATCGAAATTAAATCGAGATGTGACGTCACACTAAATTGGTCTATAGTCCGGAAATTACGGGAAAAAATATTCTCAATTTTCCTAGTGAATTCGGTTTTTATCGAAGGGAACTTGGCAACGTCTAAAGGCTCACACAGCGTTCTCCTCAGCATGGCAGTATTATACGTCGCAGTACAATTCGGGGTTCTGGGATGTTGGAATGGATCTGTTTTAATCTTCAGTCAGAACGATAATAGGATTGCATTTTGCGAAAGGTAAGTAGGACCATAGCAATGTTGCTAAGGCTATGCAACTTTTTTTGTCTTGGAGGGAAAACCTGATTACCTATGAATAGCTTCCATTTTACTCTCATGTCATTGCATATGTACAAGGCAATGACAAGTGTTTTCTCGATCGGTAGTGATACTGGCGCACTGATATTTGAGTTAAAATGGAAAAGTTCAAAAGAAAAATATGTATAACGCAACTAGACGGATATGCTCAACTGGATGGATGGCTCAATATTGACTGTTTTTAAATACTAATTTGACACACTTCTTACGTATCAATTTTTTTTTTTTTTTTTTTTTTTTTTTTTTTTTTTTTTTTTAACATATAAACGTCTAACAGCGTAATGAGGAATTTAAGTGGAAATTCGTCAAGAGGGGCTCAGGACACCCACAGAATATAAATAAAATGAATGGTGTGTCTCAAGGTAGATATGGCAACGTATGTAGAAACAAAAGTTAATACTATAGGTCACGTTATAGGTCCTGATCACTAAGCTTCATTGAGATTGGTCTATTAAGATTTCAGAAAATGCCAAACGGCTCTCTCTAGGGATTCAAAACAAAACTTAACCAGGGGTGCACATTTTACTATCCTTCCACAATTTCGCGCGATAAGCTTTTCCTCTTCCACAAATTTTTTTTAAAAAATGTCCACAATTTCGTGACTCCTTCTACAAAAAGTGATGACTTTTTTTGTTTGTTTTATGTTTTGTTCTTTCCAGTGGGGAATTAGGAACGAGGAGGGTTGTTGACTTGAACTGAACGCAAATATTAGTGGTAACGCAATAAGAATGTCAACGTATTTAGAATTTTAGATATAAGAAGATACAAGAATAGATTAATAGATAGAAGAATTGACAATTGAGATGAGGTACAATCAGATTCTACACATCATCTACATCGCAAAGGAAGGGTAAATTACCCTTTTCACTACGCAGGCGATCGATGACTGCCGAATTTTTACAAGGCTTCAGCTTGTCTTTTTGTTTACTTACTCTAAAAAAATGAGGTGGAGGAAAGGGAATGGTACTTCTGCATTTGTTCCGCACTTTTTATTTAATGCTGCTTTTAAAATGCCATCAGCTGCGTGGACTTTCGGGCCGTTCCATGTTACAAACACTTCCTTGGATACATTTTCAGATTTTAAGTTTCTATTGTACAGGTGTGAGCCCAACACACTACCAACAGTTTCACAAATGGTTTCATTCATTATTTGATTATATTTTTCAAATAAATATAAAAACTCCGGGCATTTTTTAAAAATTTGAGGAGTCCTGAAGAGGTACTGTGTAACAGTGTGATTCAAAATATAGGCGGCTTTAGAGTCCTTGACAGGTAGTTTGGGAGGGTCTTTATTTTTGCTTTGCGACACAAATGTTGGATTGGTCATTTTTACAGAAGACAACTAGTTTTGGATCAAGAACATAGTTGTGTCAGATCAAGTAAACAGGTTGTCACCACTTAACACCGTGAGTTGGGTCAAGTCAAAGTAAGAAGTTGTGTTAAATCAGCACAGCCTACATTGGAGAAAAAGTAGCTTGAAACAAAAGTGAATACGAAAATCAAATGGTTTCAGTGCCGAGGCATACATTCGCCACGTGAGCGATCTTCTCAACGCCATTCTCCGCACCGCGGTCATTCCCGAACAGTCTAACATCTAAGTACTAACTTCGCTCGACGTTGCTTAACCCCGTGATCGCCCAAGTGCCGCTGCAGTGGAGTTCCGGAAGCTCCGTTGATATGAGAGGGTAACTTAGCATTCATAAGCGTCCTCAGCGCTAATCCCATGATTGAAAACAATACTATTCTCGGAAATTTCTATGCAGTTTCAAAGGAAGAACTAAAATGAAGAAAATAAATAAGTAAAATGAAATAAAAAATGAATAAATATATGATATGAACTAGGACGGTCGTCTCTCGGAGCATGCGCTAAGCAGCTTGCGCCCGAAGACGGTGAAAAATCCCGGAGAGATGGCTCCCTGTGTTTGCTCCGGCGAAACAACCTGAGCGAAAAGGAGCGCAAAGAGACAACGCGCTTGGCGCCTGAAGGCGGTGAGAAATCCCGGAGAGATGGCTCCCTGGGCTTGCTCCGGCAAAACAACCTGAGCGAAAAGGAGCGCAAGGAGACAACGCGCTTGGCGCCCGAAGGCGGTGAGAAATCCCGGAGAGATGGCTCCCTGGGCTTGCTCCGGCGAAACAACCTGAGCGAAATGCAATGGGGGAAAATAGAAGTCCTGGAGAGAAACTCCCCAGGTAAAGAGAAGGAATCCTGGAGAGGAACTCTCTAGGTGAAAGAGGACAATCCTGGAGAGGAACTCTCTAGGTGTAGGGGGACAATCCTGGAGAGGAACTCTCTAGGTGACTAGCTCAGGCGAAGCAACCCGAGCGATCGCATTGAGAACTTACCAAGGTTCAAAGATGTGAACTGCGGTGAAGCTGATGATCAAATGAGATGATGGCCTCAAGACAGGCTGGCTTTATATACCCGAGGACAGGAGGAAGACGTCACCAAAAGCCAATAGAAAGAGGAGAAAGTGATGTCAATACTAACCTATGAGCGATTCCCACGGAGGATGCAGCTGGAATGACTACAGGAAAGCAGAGGAAAAACACTGTAGGTGACCGCAACTCGTAGGTAAACAACGCGTAATCAGGAGGTCCGCGCGCAGCCGAGGAGCGGGGCGGCGGGGACGGGTCAGATCCACGGCGAAGCTGGCCGGTCAAAGAGCTAGATGACCGCGACGCCCAGCCGCCAAGCTGCGAGTCGGCGGTAACATACTCTGCCCGCCTTGAGGTCTGTGGTGTATTAAATCAGCACAAGATAAAGTACAAAATGAAGAGAGGTTTAGGCCCCAGGAGCGCGAGGATGAGGGCGGCGTCTACGAGGCGGCGGCGGTCTCTGCAGGAACTGGCGGCGGTGAACAGCTTCTCGGTGCTGCTGGGCACGTCGTTGAGAGCGTTGGAGATGATGAGCTAGGTTCCTTTGCACCCAGTTGGGAGCAGGGAGCCAAGGCTGCAAGACGGTGGAAGCTTCTCGGTGCTGCTGGGCACGTCGTTGAGAGCGTTGGAGATGATGAGCTAGGTTCCTTTGCACCCAGTTGGGAGCAGGGAGCCAAGGCTGCGAGACGGTGGAAGGTTTGGGGCGCCGGTGCCGCGGGAGTAGGGGCGATCACCTCTGCCTGGATGCCGATGGAGGAAGATCGGGGAGGTGTCGTTTGAGTCGACGCATCTACAGAACGGCGAGGAGAGGTCTGAGTTGACGCATTTTCGTTAGGTCGTAACTCGACTGTCGAGGCATCCGATGGCGCGGGGCTAAGGAGCCTTTCTTCTTCCAACAAGGTTAGGAACCAGGCTGAGCTGGGGGCCTGAGCAGGTGGAGTGGGTCCCCTGCGGCTGGTTATGAGACGAGGCCGAGTCGGGATACGATGGACAGCACCAGGGACGACAGCTTGCCGAGAAGCTGAGCGGGCTTGATCGGGTTTCTATTTAATCATTTGATATGAACTAGTATAGATCAACAAAATAAAATAAACAATGAATAAATACACATTACAAATTAACATAAATATGACTGCATTGCATTTGCGGAAAAGATTGCTTTTGCTCGTTTGCAGTATAAACTGCAGTGGTGATGACAAAACGTTTCTTTTGAGGCTCAAATGCATTAAATGTCAGAGACACTACCATCAAAAAGCTACTTCGAAAACCCAAGAAAAATCTGTGTACCTAAGTCGTTACGTGACGCTCCTTTTGGTGAACCCATAAGTAGTACTCCCCATGACGCTGCGATAATTAAGTTGTGTGCAAAACTGGAAGAGCTATTTTATGTTCCTCAAAAGGGAGAATACAATATCTTTCCTTCATATCTGATATGGGCCACGAATCAAGTTTTCCAGGTTTTGCTACATATTGCATTTTTATGATACGCTCTTCCAGCTCGTGAAAATTGCAAGGCGTTACTTCGTTAAATCTTTTTTTTGATTATCCGTATTGCTACAATAATACCACCTTCCAGACCAAATACATTATATGGTACATGCGTGTTCATCAGAACACCATCTATCTCACATGCTGAGAATTGGCGGACTTCTTGGCCGCATTCGAGTTTATCTTTCTCCTTACATGCTTGATGTACGCGATTTTTACAAGGTTACGTTTCATTTTTACTAGATTATTTGCTCTCATCTCACTCTCTCGTTTAGCCATTTGAGTAGCCGACCTCGTTCCACCTTTGATCACGGTTCTTTTGTATTAGCCCGCTTCATCCTCTGTACGAAAAGTACTAGCATTGACCAAGGGACCACACCTGATCACTTCGTCAGGTAAATGAAGTAGACTATGAACATTAGAACTCATATTTTCGGCACTGTAAATGAATTTAGTCTCTATGACATATTCCCTCAAGAGACCCCTCATGAGATCGACATGGGACTTACTGAGCGTTGGACTATACTGAGCCCAATTCGCATGGCTTAGTTAAGCTTCATGAAATGCGAATAGACTCTATTAGGAAGCTCAGTTTTAAGGACCTCATCATGCGCTGTGAAGATATATTTCAGCGCACACGCATGCTGACCTGCACCGATTGACACTTGTCACACAGCACACGCGGTAAAAGTTCATTATTCGGATCATGCTTTGGCACTAAGTTTTCGATTTTCCTCTCTAAGTTTTTCACGATGTTCCTCATTATTCCTCGCCCTAAATATAATAAGCACAAAATGTGTCTTTTATTTTTTTTTTTTTTGAATAGTTATTAGCACATCTTTATACAAACAAATTTAGCACTTTTAATTTACAGTATAGAACATAAATATCTTACAAGATAGTTAACCATGATAAATGAATGAAGATGAAGAACTTAAGAATGGGTTAACTATCCATAAAGACAATTGCCTAATTACTTAAAAATAAGCAAATTTTTATGAAGACATCCATTTTTATCGTGCGTTCTTGGTCTATTTAATCCCATTCTTCACTAATTTCCAACACTTGATTGTACAAAAATTAACATGAACCTTTCCTTCAAATTTCTTTTCAACATACATTTGAAACTCATAGATCTGAAGTCGACGAAGAGAGAATCGTCGTTTAAAAATAAACCCTCCCCCTCGTATTGTCGAGGATACCATTCAATATCGAGACAAATTTTTACGGGTATCACTGTGAACTAATAAATTGTAATTTCCTCGAGATGAGTACGACACTGGACTTGTTGTGACTAAAACTGGTTCCGAGCACACGCTGTGAACACTCAGTGTGAGATTTAGGCGATTTCACATAAAAAGGCGTATAGGTGACTGTATCAGTCGTGTGCCACAGATCAATTTTATAAGAGTGTTCAGTGTACTTACTAACCCTCATGAATGTATGGTTAAAGTTTCTGGAACATCAGTCAAAGAGCATCCTGTTGAGCGGTTATTCTCCAAAACGTTCTGATAGTTACTGAAGTACTCGACTGAAAACATCAAATGAATACCCAGCGTTGTGCGGACACTGACCAAGTTATGTATAGTTACTTTGTGAATGAATGAATAAAAAATAAAAAAAGTACTTTCCAATCGGATAAATTGACATCTTACTAAAAAATTTATTTGATCACATTACGTCTCAAAGTTATACGGAAAAAATAATGGCGGCATTTAGCTCAAACTGTGTCAATCTTCGAGAAGTATATTTGTACTTCTGGCGAGACAGAGTGAGAATGTAAGAGCATTCTTTTATCATGAGCAATCGTAATAATAAAAATCTGAATCAGCTTATTCATTATATACTGACTGATTCATATTTGATTAAATCAAGCAGACTAGGTTGAGAATAATACTCACTTCCTTGTAAGGGGGCTGTTGATGAAAAGAAGACAATATTTAGAACTTCTCTATCTTCATATTATAGATAATTTTCGGACAGAACATACAAAAAAGTTTCTGATGAAACGGCGAGGAAACATGAGCATAATTCATAGCAAACCAAATAGATGGGGTGTGCACAGTAAATAGGATACAAAATTAACAAAATCTAAAAAGCTAAGAAATAAAGACACAAAATGAAAGCGTGGTGCTGAAAATTAAAATGAGTAGCAAATGGGTGAGTGCTGTAAAAGTTATTGCAAATTCTCTATTATCATTGGAATAACTGATGAGAAAGGTAATACATTTTAGGGATCGCAGTGGTGAATTGCTAACTTAAAAAATGACTAAATTTAACAAAAAAATATTTACAATGAATTGCACCTGAAATTGCACCCTGATAACTTTCATTAGAACTTAATTTAAGGACCTTCCTTGCATCAACATCTTTCTTTTTTCCCAATTTCTTGGTGTCCATTTTACTGGTATTTTTCTCCTCTAATGCATTTTGTTTACTCAGTTTAGCTGCTATTTGACGAGAGGAATTTACGTCATTGACTTTTTTAGTGTAATTGTTCAGCAAGATGTTAGCCATTGTGGTAAGGAGTATTTTGATTACATTCTCCACACAAGTGATGCAAGCATGGCAAACTCTCTGGGTATTTTCCAGGGCCGTTTTAAGATTCTAGAATATCAGTCAAAGAGCATCCTGTTAAGCGGTTATTCTCCAAAGCGTTCTGATAGTTACTGAAGTACTCAACAGAACACATCAAATGAATACCCAGCGTAGTGTAGACAGTAACTGCTTAACGACAAGTTGCGCATGTTTACGTTTTTAAATCGAAGTAATCCGTGACATCTTCAAGGATTCTTTCGAATCCATTTTTACAGGTAGCTCGGGGTCCTATGGGGACCGCCTTTTAACTTTTCGAGTCCCTCATCTCAGTCTTTGAAGCCGCAGCATTAACCGCCAATAGTAATTTCTCCGTAAAATCATCGATGTTTCCGCTTCCCTGCTCGGCAATCAAATCGCTTCCAGCGACATCTTGGGGACCAGTATCACTCAGAGCCTGCACTTCACTTTCGCACACATTTTCGGGTTATTTCACTTTCACCCACAAATCGGAATATCGGTTTCGCACACTTTTAAAAATTTTAATTTCCAATGTTTTTCCCATTGACCGATTTGGCAAGAGTGGAAGCCCTAGGACATTTAATAATTTAATTATAGTTCATTTAATCATATCATTTCAATTATACGTAATATTGGTATCTTCCTCGGAGAATACTATCATTCTCTTGATCGTTCTTCACTACGGTATAAATATCGCCCCTTTTCATGAAACATAAAATCGCATTTAGAAACTGGTCTCAAAGGTTACGATCCGAGACTCGCAACTAAGATGGATGCAAGCATATCTTAGGATATATAAATTTTAAGTGAAGAATTTTTGCTTAAAAAGGAGCTTTATGAGAGACTAGTTATTTTTGGCTAAGACAGAACACATAAGTCCGGATGGATCCGAGACTCGCAACTAAGATGGATGCAAGCATATCTTAGGGTAAATAAAATTTTTCAAGTGCAGAATCTTTGCCGAGAAGTAGCTTCTAGGAGAGACTTATTATTTTTGGTCAAGATAGAACACATAAGTCCGGACGTAATCAAGACTCGCAACTAAGATGTGAGAAATACATCTTAGGATGTTTTGCTGAGTTATCTTGACAGGCTAATGCTGTGCTGAAAAGGTTTAGCTCGGTTTTGGTGGCCCTAAAAAGGGCCGTTTTCAAAAAAAAACTTAGAGAGACATCCTTCAGTCTTCAGGAACTTAAAAAATAACTGGTACGATATAAAAAGTAAAGAACTAGATAATAAAACGAAAAATATCACTGGTTTGACTACTGGATTAAGAACTTATACATGTCGGCTTATACAGGGTTTGGTGCAGGCTTCATGGAGTGGACTCCGCCGTGGAGAGGGAGTGCTGGCGGTACAGATGGGCACGGCTGGCTTGCCGGCGCTGACGGCTAGTGACAAGAGTTGTGCGGCGTCGGTCTGATAATCGCCTTCTTGCTAGTTGCAGATCCAAATGGAGGAAATAGCGTGCCTCACGCCTGTTTCTCGGCTCCCGTCGGAAGCCTGGAGGTAGCGACTGCGGGAGTGGCGGAAGCTGAGGCGGCAGGTCCATCCGGATTTGCAATGGGATGAATGGCTCGTAAGGGCCACACTGGCCCCACTGGTTTCACTGGTTCAACTGGTTGGAAATTACGTCAAAATCCACATGAACCGCGCGATCGACAAGAGGACACTGAATGTGAGTTCACTTCACACATTAGGCTCACCTGTCACATTCATGAATACGAGATGAACGTGATCAGATCTATCCTCTGAGTACTGATACGAAGATGCTCAGCGGTCACAGCTGTTATCATAGTTTTAAGCTGTTGTTCAGCGAGAAATTGACGGATTCTTAATGCAGCGTTGCCGCATCGGGTCTCTACGAAACTGTGCGAAACTGAAAACTGTTAGTCAATTTAATTACGAATCAAAATCCTCTTCGGACTCAATATCGGCTAATTGTACAGTTTCCGGTTTTGCCGGTTTGAGAATTGATAGCGATTGGCGTTTCTTTTCATAAAACTCACGCGCCCGCTTTTGCTGGTCAAAAGTGTGCGTAAGTGTAGCGCAGCCCACTCAGGATGTTCAACCTTTCCTTCATAGTACTGAAGCGATGTGGGGTAACAATTAGACTGCTGAGCGCCGGGCTCGAGACTCAGGCCACATGCCACAAATAAAAAAAAAAGATGAAAATGAACAAGGAACACAAAACTTTGGTTTGGCGTGACCAAAATTTAACTAAAGAGACATTACCGACCCGAACCGATGAAAGATGGGGGGTAATCCTTGCGGATTACCCCCAAAAAGGGAAAAAATCGAGAGCAAACGACTTACTCGCACATCCAGGAAAAACGAACCAAAACGAACTGAGAGCACTCTCGACCAACCAGAAAGCAGCACCTATGGCGTCACTTTCTGGGTTCGAGAGTGCTCCCACGGGATTGGCTGCCGGCCTGGAGGGCGCCGAATTTGATAAATTTTTTAAATTTAAAGGGGACCATACTACAGTACCTCTCGTAACACCAGTTGTCGTTATAGTTTTGTGCAAAACTTTGGGAACTCCCCTTCCAAGGTTTGAAAATATTCACCATACTTTTCTTCATCTGTAATAGATGTTACAAGAGGATGTAATTGTGTCAAATGGACAAGTATTTGACACCTTATAATGGACAGCTCCCACTTTGATTATTTTCGAAATATTACCATTTGGCAGTAACAGTTTTCTGCCTTTTTCCTCTCAACTTCTACGCCCGGAAGTTGGTTCTTCGATGGACGAAACTTTGATTTGTCTTTGGAGTCACTCTTCCATTTTCTTTTAGACATAAGCTCAATCGGTTAAGGTGTGGTCTCGCCTTGCCTCTCCAATTTGCCATGGCGTCAATGGTTGCGACCGAATCACCTAGATCTTCTTCACTCCCTCCAGAGTTTTGGGTCGGTGTCATTCTTTCTACCTCGGTTTCCAAACATGCATCAGTATAAAGTTCTAGGTAGCAGCTCGCCTACTTCTTGCAAATCGTTTAAATATTCCTACACTTGTCAGTCACATCCTCCATTTCATTAGCGCCGTTGTCCGGCTCGTCAACGTCAGCGTCTGATGAAGTTTATTCATCACGTCTGATTGCTTTTTCGTTTGCTTCTATCATTATTGATAAAATAGCATTCAAATGAGTGACAACGAATTATTGCTCGAGAGCAAGGCGTGCGTTTACCATTCTTATTTTCTTTACATCAGCAAGATCTCCTTCTACTGCTGCAGATTACGCGGGCACTCATGGACTATGAAAGAAGGGCTTCATGAGAGCCGTTCAAAGAGGAAATGACCGAAGAATGCGAATAAAATCCTTTCTAAATACAGCGGATTCATAGTGGTTGGGCTCACCGCCTTTTGCATAATTTAATTGGTCAGCTTCCTCTACGATTTTTTCAATAAAAACTCTGATGAGACAAGGCTCACCCCTTCTTGCGTCTTGTTCCGATTCTAATGCCAGAACTGTGGCAGAGTCGAGAGAATCTACATCCCATTCATTTAATTCGTTGTATGTGCATTATATAACTGGGATGTCGATTCCTGTTTCACCTTTAAATCGATTTTCCAAGCATTTACGTGCAGCTTTGTTAGGGGACCAAATTTTTTCATCCGGAGTTTGAATGCTGCTGGCGGTGTGACGTCACGATTATCAAGACACGACATTAAGAACATATTTCGCGAAAATTTTAAAATCTTCCAAGCCATTGCGCACCGTAATTTGACGCACCGAACATCAGATAAATAATGAGCTTACCTAATTAGCAAGATTATTTCCCCGTCAGTTCTCAAAAAATATCACCGAAAAGTTTTGGTTGAAGAAAGATAATAAAGAGGTTCAATATTTAGGAAGAACAATTTTTTTTTTTATACAACACAAAACGTAATTTTACATGAAGTGGACGTAAAGAACATCCTTAGGTCTTAAACTCAAAGAAAACGCACTCAAAAAAAGCTCCGGCCGTGGAGGCCAGGAGCAGCGGACCTGGAGCACGGACTGGATGGGCTATATGGCACTACCGTTCGCCTACGCGCCTGACGGCCGGAGTGCTACGTGCGGGGACGATGCGGATTGCTATGGACATGAAAACCGTAAGTCGCGGCCTCGAGCGGCATAGGCAGCTTGCGCTCTCCGCGCTACTTACGGGCTGGACGGCCGGAGCTCTGCGCGCCGACGCTGTCCGCGACGTGGTGGATTTTTTCGGAACTACAGCTGAAAATTCACCATTAAAGTACATAGAAAAGAAAAACTTTCCAGCAAAGTTTTAAACATTGAGTGAATTATCTTGTGTCAATTTCTGAACAAGATTTTTTTTCTTTCCTTCTTTTTAAAATAGGTATATATTTCTTTGTTGATAGTTCATAACAATTTAGTTTCAGGAAAGTTATGGATAATTCACTGTCTAAGAAAGAAAAAGAGCATATGAACGTTAGCTTGTTGATCATGTTTCAGATATCAAGAGAGATTTGAACTCCTTGGCTGATAGTTCAGCAAGTCAATTTGAGAAAAGAGATGAATCTTCGAGAAGAGATGATGCTTATTGAGAAAGAAAATCAGCATATGAATGTTAGCTTATTCATCGTGTAGAGATATCAAGAGAAATTTTCAAAAACCTAACTTTAATGTTGCAAGCCTTCCTAGAAATAAATAAAGCACTGGGGAAGCACTGGAAGGAACAAATNGGGGGGGCGCCCCCCAAAATTTTGGGTACGCCAAAAAGTAGTTCCCTTTGACCTAGGAACATTCCCCAAATTTCAAATCTCTAGCACTTTTTGTTCAAAAGTTATAAGGGGGGTCCCAGACTTCTGGATAACCCTGTATGTATTGCATGTGAGTTATAGATGTATTGATACTTAGGCAGCGATAAGTACCATACTCGGGATTCCTTCCCAACCCTATTTTTCCACCCAAACAGCTATAATGACCGGATAGGAATTTGGAAATGCATAGAATGCAGCCTTTCGACGGGGTATCGAGGAACTGTATGCGCGGCAGGAGAGTCGTCAGTGGTTCCATCACGTCCAGAATTTGAAAGTTCTCTGGCTCCACGCAAGCAGAACAACAGCCGCAATCGGGCGAGTCACCAGCCTTCCCAACGAAAAAAAGCATTAGGCTCTGAATACACGATCTTCGTTGAGACAGAACAAACCACCCGATCATGGCGTTGTTGCTGATTATCGTGGAGACGTGAGTAGCCATATCTAGTCGTTCCTCCCTTTCGATCCTCCGACAAGTTTGGTTATAGCAATACGACGAGTCAACTAAAACAACACATTTCGAGGCCTGGTTGGATCGGCCACACCGACCACTCTCCTGCAGGAAGGTATAAATAGATTTAGGATACCCGATGTGCAAAACGGAATTACAAGACTTATTGTTGATACCCAAAAGAAATTGCCGAAGTTCCGAAAAGAACATCGACCTCACCACTATTCCATCTTATTAGTCTACTCTCCTTTTCAGCGTCTCAGAATGTTCTTGAATAACCTCTATTGGAAATTCCTTTAAAATATCCAAGAGACGCATCGAGGGGCACGCACATATTATCCGGGGGTGAATCATTCTCTTCACTTATCAAAATATAACGCTCTCCATGTAATAACTCCATCTATCACCAAGCACAACATTTATTTAATTCTACAGGATTGCAGGAAATCTTGGTTATAGGTTCAGTAGAGGAGACGGTTATATAAAGGAGGAGCCTTACGTGATGGCACTTCGTTCGGGTGGAACATCAGGTTGCGGACCAATAGGTGCATCAAAGTTCGAACTTAATAGATTTGAGCCTTTCTCCACGACTGGTTCCACGTTCTCTCCACTCGTTTCCGGAAAACTGGAAACAAGGAAGGTTTTAAATTTAAAGATTACATAATGAGAATAACCATTAACATTTCGATCCGAGTATGCGTATTGAATAAACTGATTTCACCGATTACCCTCTTCGTCCCTAAGCTACCTGCTTAAATCGTTATTACTCATCCAACTTTTACATTCAGTTAAATTTGTATCCTCCTCCGATTGGCCCCCGTTCGATTCGTCCTTGTCCAGTCGTGGTTCCTTTTTGCAGGAGTGAGGATCATATTTTTATAAAAGAACTTTATTTAATACACTTTTTACACCCTTGACAGCCAAAACAAAAATAATAGATAATAGAAATAGAATATAGGAAGCAGTACAACTTATTATACACTTACAAGCGTCATTACTATTAAACTCTTGGACTTCAGCATCAGAATATATTTTGGTATTTTAATGGTAACTTAATAAAGAGAAATCTAACCTTCTCTCAACAAATCAACTTTAAAAAACACCCCTTATTACATCAGAGAACTTCTATCAAGTTTTGTTCAGATTTTAATACTTCGAATACAGTTGAAAACAATATCAAAGGGGTCAAGAAAGACGAAAAGAAACGGATTTTGCTGCCACTTGGTTTGGCCACCTCAGAATTCATGGGTTCCTATTAGTTCTTTCATAGAAAAAGGACATGAGACAGAAGCGTCTTGCGGACAAAGATGATTTCAAAGGTAAAACTACAATATAAATCTCAGGGTAGCGTAGGCAGCGTAACGTAAAATACGTATCAATGATACGTATTTATTTGCGTGAAATTGCGCCGGGACATCAATTATGTGGTCATTACACCCTGTCGCTGCCCTTCCCTTCGGCAGCTCATATCCACACGTACCAGGATCTGTAGTTCTGCCGCGGGACGCGCGACAGTAAACCTACTCTGACGCGAAGCCTCTTCTTTCGCCTTCAATTTCGGCTGATACGCCCGCAGAGCCTGGCATTACCGCCACGTTCGAATAGTTATCTCACAGCGCCGGCCGTTCACTCGAACCCGATGTAGCAGTCCTTCGCTCGTATGCTTTTGCGCTGCAGGCGCACGATTGGTTCTAGAATATAGAGATTGGATCGTAGTTTTCATCACAAATGTTATGTCACTCGTGTTTCTCAAAGTGCAACTACGGCGAAAATTAAAATTTTCAGGATAATTGATAATACTATTATTTCTTTATTTTTGTAGAATTCCTTGAATTCCTCCCACATTTTGTTTTTATCCTGAAAAAAGAGGAGAAAAAAAACAGATTGATCAAAAAATTAGAAAAGAATATTTTAAAATATCGGCCTCGTTCAGATGTTTCTTCGGTGATACACGTGGATGGATTTTAATGAGGTAATTATTTGTTGTGTTTGTTAATTTTATGTCACTCTCACAAAATGTGCAGCAATCATTAGCACTGTTTACTTGTGACTGATTTTTTTCTGTCCTTCGAGTGCTGAACAGCGGCGTAAAAACCAATTTCCACTACGTAGGGTATTGGAATGCGCCTGTCCGTCTATGTGTTTGTCCATCGTGGATAAGACGGCTCAAAGGTGTCTGTTTTACCATGTTTATTGTTTATTCTTGAAACTAATCGATCCATTCCTCCGAATTTCGAATAGAAGTGGCTGCGTCCTTTTCAGCCAAATCGGGGATCGAATCGCTCAAATCTGATTCATTTATCATCATGTACGTAAACGTTAACTTCAGCCTTCATCACGTTCATAATTTCAGTATATTGTAGTGCTGAGGACGCACTGGAAAAAAAACACATTGGATCTAGAGTCCAGACTCTTAAAAACATCGATAAGAAAAAGTACTCTTGATTCAATCAGAATCTAGCTTAAATCGAGAACCAAGCCTCTTAATGTAAGCGGATTTCGTTTTGATTCAAGCAAAGATCCGATTGAATCAAGAGTTTTTTTTCTTGTCGATGTTTTCAAGAGTCTGGACTCTAGATCCAATGTTTTTTTTTTCCAGTGCGTAGAAGCTAGAACTATGTATATTATGAAGTAAAAGTGTTTCGAGGTCATTATTATTATGCATGAAAATCACTCCTTGCGATGATGAATACACAAAGATCGATATGAGAAGTCTTCGACTAAGGAGGTTTGGGCCCTCGGAAAATATTGCCAAGAACACAGCGCTCGTCCGACTCTAACTCGGAATTTAATTTGTGAATGAAGCACGAAATTATTGCAGCAATAATAGAAAGCAAACAAAATATTAAAATTAAAAAAGCACGCTGCTTGGAAGACAAAACAAGAGCGGGGGAGGGAAATTAATTTTTAATTTTCGTACTTCGAACCCGGTCGAAGCGAAGGAGCGACCGATCCCTTTTATCATTTTTATTCCTCGCTCCTTCGACCTCCCGCGCCCACCGAATCCCGTCCGGATGACGTTTGAATATTAATTCCTTGATTTTATTTGTAATTTCATTTTTTTTTCTACTTTTACGGCTCTTATTACACTCGCGGCATGGCGGAGACTCCTCCGTTAAGGAGACATTAAACTCTCCGTCGCCACGGAAGACCATCAGTCGACATTTTTGCATATATTTACCGTTAGCTTTATCAGTTTTATATACTCGTAAAAATACATCGACTAATGAATTAATTAATGAGAACCCCCCGCCCGCAATTTGACTCCCTTTCCCCGATGGAAAGACTTCGGTACATTGCAATGTTGTATTTTTTTCCACTCGCAAAGTTTATTTTCACCGAGAAACTCATCGTCGCACCGTGGATCTAGTCGATCAGAGAGGTCGGACAAAATTTGGAATTTTAAAACACTTATAACTCCGTTTATGCAAAAATTTGAGGTGCCAAAAGTGGCTCCATTGGTGTCCTCGTGAAATTTCCTTCTAGAAGCGCCCACTGTAATTTAAAATGTGTCGAAATAAACACCGTAATTCTCAGTTTTAGTCAAAAATTTCTTGTCCGACCTCTGTAATTGACTCGATCCACTGTGCGTCGTTTCCGCAACGAAGGAACGTAACTCCATTCCAATGTTGCCAAATTTACCCAAAAATTGTATTTATTACAAGAATATATCTGTGTAAATGTTGTCCGAAATTTGTATGATTATTACAAGAGATCGGATGAAAAATCCGTGAGATTTTCAGTTGGGAATAATGCCCTAGAATCTACGGTTTGAAGTTCGATTTGAGAGGGGAAATTTGGCAACATTGCAATATAGTTACGTCCTTTCATGGGGAAAAGTACGTATTTGTGCGTCCTTTTTGCTGCAAATTGTATTATTTTTTCTTTTGAACACACGCTGAAATCAGCACATCTTGAGGATGAAAATTGCAAGGTTTTTTCCGTGTCAGAAATTGAATTGTCCGAGTCAATTTTGCAAACATGGAGTAGAGATTCTCTTTCGTCTCGAAAACGACGAAGTCACGGTTGTCTCCAGCTATAGTCAAAACTTTATAGCTTCTGGGCAGTGGCGTGGCGTGACTATATCCGGTAGGCGTTCGGTAGGAGTGTTAACTTTAGGGGGGGGGGTGAGGGGTGTCAGAAAGGTTCACTCCCCTTCCTTAAAGGGGGTTCGGGGGGCCTCCCCTGGAAACTTTTTAAAAATTAAAGCCGCAAGAACACGATTTTAACCCTTTCTGGTGAAAATTGTGCCAGTAAATTGTCATTGAAATTTCGTTCTTTTTACCGATCGTTTTCCTGTAATTTACTTTGTTAAATGATTCGTAACACGCACCTGAAGAGAGAGGTGGGAGAGGGAGACTGGGAAACTGGGAGTTGCGGCCCGCAGGCGCACGGGGGGAAGCGGAGGGCGAATCGCGGCATAGAGGAAATTCGGCGGTTCGCAAACCCCTGCGGACCACTGCTATAGGAAACAGCTGGACTGATGAGCGGCTCTCCTCTCTCGTTCTTTTCCCCTTCCTTTTCTCTCTGCTGTGTCCCTCCGCGAGCGCGGTCCGCACTCGTCTCCGAACCCAATGCTCACGCTCCGCTCTGCGCCGCGCGCCGGTGCCTCTCCTCTCTCGTGTACCCTTCGCCCCTTCAGCATTGCACCCAGGTTCTCTCTCCACGCAGATCATCCAGGTTCGGTAGCCGGTGCGGACCACGCGTCACAGGATTTTCTCTCTCCGCCGCGCCACATGCCGCTGTCGGAAGCCAAGCGCCCGATACTTATTTGCGATCTACTATTCTGTATTCTGTATTGCTTCTCACATTCTTAGCCATAATTTATTAATTGTTTCAAAATATTTTAGGGTGTTCGGCGAACACTGCGAACCTATGGACGCCACGCCACTGCTTCTGGGTCTCCATTTTATCCCCTCTATCCTCTCCATTAGTTTCCCCAATTCCTCTCTTGTCTCCCTCTGCGTTTTTTCCATTTTTTCCATTTGCTTTTCGATATCCTTAACCGCCTGCTTCCTCTGTTTCTCGCTGCTTTCAGCCTTGGTGGCCATATCATTTATTATTCCTTCTTTTTTTACTATCGCTTCCTTCAGCTTCTCTATTTCCCTCACTTCTGTAACCATATTCTTCTCCCTCGCTTCCTCACAGGCCACCACCTGTGTGATTTTATTTCCCATCTTAGCCAGTCCCTCCGTTAATTCCGCGTTGTGCATTCTCTGATGTTCAGTATTCTCCTCCCCGGTCCTCTCAATTTGTCTCCTCCATACCTCCAATTGGTTCATTACCTCGTTTTCCACGCTCGTCCTCGCTTCATTAGCTACCTGGAATGATTCTCTCATGGTTTTCACCATCGTAACCCCTACCCCTTCAAGGACCGTCTGTTCAAGCCTTCTCGCTATTTTTTCCGCCGGTAGATCCGTATCTTCTAACCTATTTCTCATAGACAGCCCTCTCTCTGCAACCACAGTATCGGCTGTCATACATCTCAACCTGTCATCCTGTAGTCTCAACTTGGCTATATCCTCCTGTATCGTATGGTGTATACAGCTCTTTGTTTTCTGAGCTTTCACATAAAATATGAGATCTTCCTCCACCGTTCTTTTTGCCTCCATTGCCTCTTCAAACCCTACGGGCAGATCATCCTGATCGACGGCGAACCTTTTCACCGCCCTTCTCTCTTTTATCGGAGTCGGCCTCCCACTCGAATCGGTACTTAACGAGTGCGACCTATCCCTTTTCCATCCTTGTGGGGATGGGAAAGAGATAACAGGTGTTCCGGTTCCGGACGGCTGATCACGTCAGATAATATTTTTGTGAAAGCTTATCAATTTTCGCGTTGTTAAGGTATAAGAACCCTAGTAGCAGATTTATATAAATTTTTTTTTAAAGAAAGTATAAATTTTAACTAACCTAAAAATGAGATGCATAATTAGTAAGCATTGTTTATACTCCCGAGGTATTAACGGCTACATATATGGAAACCCTCGCTGTATAACAGTTATGCATTGCGTAGTGGCAGATTTATATAAAAAAAAATTTGAAGAAATTATAAATTTTAACTAACCTAAAAATGAGATGCATAATTAGTACGCATTGCTTATACTCCCAAGGTATTAACGGCTACATATATGGAAACCTTCGCTGTACAACAGTTATGCATTTTGTAGTGGCAGATTTATAAAAAAGATGTTATAAAGGAAGTATAAATTTTAGGTAACCGAAAAGTGAGATGCATAATTAGTAAGCGTTGTTTATACTCCCGAGGTATTAACGGCTAAATATATGGAAACCCTCGGTGTATAACAGTTATGCATTATATTGAGCCAGTTTTATATAAGGCTTAAGTGAAAGTTTCCTTTTATCAACTGGTTAGTATATTTTTCATATAAACTATGTTTGTTGCTCATAAATCAAAAAATATTTTGTTATAGAAAATTGTTGGTTTTCTTTAGCTTTCTTTAGTGAGTTTCAATCAACCGTTTTATGTAAATATTATAAAATGGAGGTTGCTTTCCTTAAAAAATTCGTTATTACGTTTCTATGGTCAAGCTTGCTTTAATGAAGTTATTCTTAAATGTCTCTTAAATTCCTATTGAGGACAATTGGAATGAGTTCATCGGAAAGAAACCAACCCAAAATTATGACGTTTACTTTCTACATTGAGTCTTATGTACCAATAAAACTTCAGACCTCTTTTTCTCAGTTTCAAAATGCAGGTTGGTTCCTTTCTGATGAACTCGGCCCAATTCTACTCAATCGGATGACAAAGAACAATCATCAAAATATTAGTGCTTTCACTGGTTAAAACTGGGAAATAATACATGAAGGTATACTTGAAATTTAGAAAACTTGTATTTGCTCAAAACACAAGAATAGAAGAAATAGAAATAATAAGAATCAAATAATAGAATCAAAGAAGAATAATACGGTCAAATAATAGAATCAAAGAAGAATAATACGGTCAAATAATAGAATCAAATAGAAATGACATTAGAGATTTAATTTTTAATCCTTCAGCCTATTCAGGGGCAACTGGGCTCGCTGCATCATCGTGAGTTGAGGAATTCTCTCTGGAAAAAAAAAAAAAAAACCGATGTTATGTTGTGCATTTTGTTGATCATTCCACTAAAACGCAGTAAAAACTGCTCCACAATATTTGAAATATGTCAAATTGGCTAATTGGAATTTTTAACTCTGAACGGGTCGCTCCTATGATCCTGGGATCCTTTTCAATACCGGTGTAGCCAATGCAAATTTCGAGAAAAACACAATTCTGACGCGGATGACTATCTCTCGTGATGTAGTGTCTTCAATGAAGACACTGTTTAATTCGAACAACTAATCTAATCCAAACAACACTCACCGACATTTTCCTTGATGTATCTTATACTTCCATATTGGAAAATTTTAACTGAACAATCATACCTGCAAAATGAATAAAGGAAGGTAATTAGAAATTACACTTAGGTAAGTGGTAACTTATAGGAGAACACAAGAACCAAGCTTACAGTATGATCCAAGATTAGATTTAGATCCCAAAAAATTATTGGAGGCAGATGAAGAAAGTAATATTCAGGTAAAGGGAAGCTGACATAGCAGGTACTAGATGAAATTCAAGCACTACCCCAAAAAACAACAAAAATTCAAAATTTAAAAGGGTGCTTGATTTCCAAAACAGTGCCATGGCCAATCGCGATCTAGAATTGAGGAAAACGTTAGGGCTGCTGTGCGCAGAGGACGTTAATTGGACTGAGTTAAGCAGAAAGGAACCAACCCACATTTTGGAAAAAATTGATTTATGAGTGGTTTTGAACTCGACCACTGCTTTAGTATCTATCGCCAAAAATTCAAAGTTTTTGTTGGAACAAATTTTGCAGAAACAGAATTTGAAGTTTATCTTTTACATTGAGTCTTATGCAGGAGACAAACTTCAAACCTCTTTTTCTCGGTTCGATCCCGATGTGGCTTGGTTCCTTTCTGTTTAACTCCGTCCAATTAGTCAACTGCGCATGCAAACCAGAAGTAGAGAAGTGACAACTTAGCTGAAGATCGCTGTAACTAAAGACATAAAGATGGAGCACTAGAAGAAAAAAAATTGGGCAAATTCATGCAAACTCTCCAATTGGCTAGAGGATTGGCAGCGAAATCGGTACTTACGAGTTTGAAATTCAAATACAGGACAGGAACTGAATAAAATTGCAAAAACAAAGTATCCTATGTTGATTTTTAATCCAATTCACTTATCCACATATTCTTTTAAAACTTGAGGTTATTTTTGGTCATTCATCGACCAATTATTCTCATTCGAGAATAACGGCCTGTTCGAGCCAGCTGGGCCATAATGAGCAGAAGCAAAACTATCTTTATCTGAGATCCTTGCTTGTTACCAAGCCAAAATAGGTCCATTATACCTAATCTCTGTCCCAACTTTACTTGTTCGTTCATGATAGTGATTTAAAACGAGATTAGAACAAGAAATGTGCAAAAATCAAGGGTAAAAGTTTAAATCAAACTGCCGTTTGCCACCATGGATTCCTGCACTTAAATACTCTCTCGTACAGACGCAGAATGCCAGGGCTGCATCACTTCTCCCCCCCCCCCCCCCTCGTAATAATAGATACAAGTGCTCCGTCTTAATGTCTGTGGTTCAAACACTTGTGATCATGAATTGCTGGAAAAGAAGTTCCAGGACTAGAGTACCTGTATAGCAAGAGTATAGACAGATGTGAAACTCCGAGAATTCATCAGGCCTTCACCGATGCCTCCGCGAATAAAGTTAGGGCCCAGAAATGCAGCCAACCTATGAATTTCAAATTTCCAGAGCGATTTACAAATACAATTGTTACGAACCGTCGTTCATAAAGCATGTGATTGGCTTACCTTTTGCATAATTTTACTCATTTTTGCGAAAGAACGCTCATTTATGTACATTCTTGGCCATCTTGGTTAGAATTGAAATCTGTAGGCTGGCAGTAAAATTTTGTGTGTTAGAAGTTGCTCAGAAGGGTGGCTGTACTTTTGGGCCCTAAGCTCTCCATCAAGCGATCTGTCCATACTCTCGCTATATAGGTACTCTATCCGGGACGATAAGATAAAACACCCAGGAGGTACAGTGGCTATGGGGGGACCCTCAAAAGGGCTGCACTGATAAGAGAATCATATTTTCATTGAGAAATAAGAAAAATTACTAAGATCCATCCGAACCCCAAGTTTCAATAAAAATAACAAGATGTCTCACCCTTTGAAAAGATCGGCATCATCCACCGCAAATGTGCAAACGGTTGTTTCTTCAACCTCGGCCTCATCAATCGGCCATGAACATATTTGCACTAACTGCTCCCTTCACTGACAAGCCAAAGGTGGAAGAAACAAAGATTATCACTTCAGCGGTAGATGACATCCTTCTTCCATGGACGATACCTACACTGTCGTTAAAAATAGAAACTGGGCATTCGGACTGATCCAGCTGCCTAAGGCGGGTCTGTCATCTCGACAATGAAAATGCAATTCTGTGACAAGCGCAGCTGACCTGATACAGCCTGACCAGCAGAATGGAAACCAATTTGCTTCTGCTAAGGAGCAAATACACACCAGAGACATTACGTTTACTGGCAGGAAAAATCTCTTGATAATTCCAGGAAAACTGTGATCAAGTTCAGAGCTTCAGAGGAGAAAATGAAATGTAGTCGGTGGGTCTGCAGGTATCACGTGAGATAATTGCAAGGTACACTCTGCTACAGGTATGGACAAACGGAGTGACGTATGAAGTCGTACCCTCCATTTGCCGCGCAGGTTTTCGCAGTCGTACTCTCGATGCTGTCAAATCTACGCGTTTTGACGACTTTCTAAAATTCCATTTGTCCATACCTGTAGTAGAGTGTACCTTGAGGTAATTGAGACAATGTGATCGGCACGTGTTTGGAATAGGCCACAGGTACGAAAGGAAAATACAGGAATACTTTCCTGCGGGTACCAAACTTCCGTGGCTATAGAGGTGCTTTCGTGAATTTCACTTTCACTTTAACTTCCGAGTTCGTCGGGAATGCAGGAACACTTGGAGACACTTCCACTAGCAGAAAGCAATAATGGCGGACGGGCACGAAATGTATCGAAGTCGAAGTAGAAGAACTGCGCTGGCGTTGGCGTCGCCGAGGCCGAGAACACGACGCGAGCACATGTACTACGTGAGCCAAATGAGTAACTTTTTTCTGCAGTATTATTTAGATTACAAAAAACTTAATAAAGAAATTTAATGGTTACATCACAGACAACTATTTTGTAAAATAAATAAGTTTCAAACGATAAATTAAGATGAATTACTTATTTACTTATATAATTACGAATGAGGCGTGAAGATACTTCTTTGACTAATCGCAACTGAGGCGGCCCGCTCTCTGATTGGTTCTCGTGACTCGGATCACATGTCACATGATCCTCGGAAGCTCAGACCTGGTCTGGTGTTGTTCGTTGTGCTTTTGAATTGAATTTGAAGTTAATCTAATTATCTTAATATGCAAGTATGATAATGTAATGCTCAAGCAAAGTTCGAGATTCATCTCGAGTCGGTGTTCAAGAAGTGTAGATTATTCTTACAATTAAAGTGCCTGCGTAAATCCTCCTCTGGTTTGTGTGAAATCTTTGTACATAGTTAATAGTTGGCTCCCCCGTGGTTAAGAATTCCATAAGGTAACTGATTCCTCCCGGCCTCTAACCTATTCTTTCTCATCCTATGCCGTCAAGGCTGAATTCTAAGAAATTCTCTGCTTTAATCAGTTTCTAGGCATATGACAATTAACAGGGGGTTCCTCCCCTCTTGTGAGTTGTAATGGTTGTAACCTCTCATTTCTTTCTGTGGGTATTTCATTCCTACACTCCATGACTAGGGTCTCCTTTTGCCGAATCTGAAGACTTTTAGATTGTTCACAGTAGAGTCATCGTATCTTGAGACCAGAGTCAATCTCTGATCAGCACGACTTTTCAAGTCCATATATGACCACACTTTTAATGAGCGTTTGTGTGGACAAGATTTTACTTTTGTCTCGACATGCGATGACTCTGCTCTAGTCTTTTCTCAAGGTCAATAGACCTAGGTTGGTCTGTTATCAAGATGTTCTTTTGAATTTCCCGACCTGGTGATGGATCCCCCTGATTTGCTATCTTTCTCCAATCGTTTCCCTGATCTGCGTTTGCGCTGTGCCGCTATATAGTGCCTCTCCCATGTGCATAAGACCAATTTAATCAGATCGGGGGAACAGCAGAGCGGGACAAGCAAATCGGGGGAATCTGTTCGCAAGGCAGACAGCCCTCATCCCTGATTTGCAGACGCACACACACACTCCAACTCACAAGCAGAGCGGGACAAGCAAATCGGGGGAATCTGTTCGCAAGGCAGACAGCCCTCATCCCTGATTTGCAGACGCACACACACACTCCAACTCACATTCAACTTTTCTAACAGACTGACCTAGGTCTGTCAACCTTGGTCTTTTCCTAATTTCTTTCAATGTGGGGTCATATATTGATTTTGCAATCTCATCATAGCTTTTCATTATGGCGATAAACTCGACTCGGTTCAAGAAAGCTGGAGGATATCTGCGTTGTCATGGCAATCTGTAAAACTGCAATAGATCGGATTCGATAGTAGTTCGATGTATCATTTGGTTCAAACTTCATTTGCACGGAGAAAAAAGATTAGTGGCTGTGACTATTCGTGGTTGGTAAAACAGGATTTAGTTTCACGCAACAGAAAAATTAGAAACTATCACTCACTGAGTTAGCGGCCTATGCTAACACGAGTTGGTAAATGATGATCTAGTGCTCCTAACTGGGACCGTGATACCACTTGACATACCGATTAGTCACAGAAACCCAACTCCTTCGCTCTCAGATTTACCAACCCAGAATAGTTGCATTGTCCACCACGTCAGGTTTGCTTACCTTGAAATCTGGTAGACAAAGACAGCACTAAGTTGTATTTTACGACCAATCTGGAACTTTCAACTTACACTTATTTGAAGGTAATGCGTACTATGAAATAGGTTGCATTTCTAAAAAGTGTGGTGGGAGAATCAAATTCGAGATATTAATTCTGACGTCAATATATTTGGCGTGTGGATTAGCTAATATTGGTAATATGTAATGACGAGAGCATGTTTTTGGAGCCGGCAGTCAGCTGTTTACTTTTCCAGTGAAAACTAGTGAAAGTCAAGTGTTAGTTCAGAAATCGATCAGGCTCTATCCATTGGGTTCTTAAAGATTTAATTAAATAACAAAGGAAATAAAGTACCTGCGTAGATGAGCTAGATGAATTAAAAATAGCAAGCAGTAAAGTATTAAGTAAAAAAAGTAATTAATTAGGTGAAATAAAAATAAATTTAAAGAAACTACCTAATAAATAACAAAATTATATGAAATTTAGGCCTTACGAAAAAATTGCAAGTAAATCGGTATGTATCTCATAATATATTGTACATTGTCGCGGAAAAATCTTAGTTGGTTGCAGAAATTCTAGTTTTTCGTTAAAATCGAAGTGATATGCCGATTTTCCGTCGCGGTAATTATCGCTCGGTTTAGCTTAATGGTTAGGATTCTCGGCTAGTGTTAGGTAGGTTGTAGGTTCGAACCCCGACAGAGGTGAAAAAATTCTATCGCCAAATTACACTGAATTAGCCTCCGAGGGATTAATCTTTTTCATTTTTCACGGTTTCGGCGAGTTTCATCGTGCTTAATCATTTTATTCGGGGGAAAAGGGGCTCTTTTCC